TTGTTCCACCTATCATTATGCGGCATGGCTAAAAGCTGGCATTGGCTCTGGCTGTACTTCTTGGAGGAAAGATATGTTCTTTCTGCACTGTGGATTGTAGTGTTGTATTGGTCTGCTGGAAATATAACTTTAAATTCCTTCACTGACGCACTGTGTAGTGTTACAGCACAGCAGCTGTTTTTGTGTTCTAATGTAGGCAAATGAATGCAGGCCTATAGATTACAGGCTATACAGAGCTTCCGAGCACCGGCAACATGTTGTGTTTATATATCCATTAACCCTTTCACTGACATGGCATACGGAAGAACACAATCGCTTGCAGCTGGCTGCGTCAGTATACCATACGTCGGTGGCTTTTACCCGTCTGCTATAAGCTCATGGTCACTTTAGTGATTTACTCGTAGTCATGAAAATGCCCTGATACTAGGCGCTTATACCAGCACTTTCATTTTTTAAATACATTTGGCTGCCGTAAGGTCCTGCACTTTGTGGGTACCTCGCGGTGGCTGTTTACAGCTCCGCCCGCACCCATGAGAGCCCGCCCAGATCAGATCTGGGTATTAAGTTATTACTAAAACCAGTGATAATCGAATGCAGAGGAAATTATGGTAAAGATTAGATACATTTATATAGTCTTACAGGCCCTATGAGGGCAACCATAATGTTGATGAGGCCCTCGATTAAATTGAGTTTGACAACCCTGCTCTACAGCCTGGAGAGCGTGGAAGGACTACCAGGGTCACAGTGGTCACATCTGCGACCGGGCCTTAGCGCTATACTGCTGACCTAAAATCATTAGTATGTATTGTTTTAAAAAAACTGTCACACGGCCCTAAAAAAAAAAAAAAATTATCGGTGAGTACTTGAGGAAAAGTATCGGTCTGGAAAAAAAAAAAAAAGATATTGGTACTTGCCTAATCAAGGCAACCTCACACACACCTCCCTCAATTAATCTGATGGGTTTTTGCAATGGAAACTATTTTTCGGCTGCAAAATTGAAAAGTGGTTGAAATTGCTGCACAATTGCCTAATTTATGAGTATTAAAGGAGAACTATGGGGTCAGTGTTTTCCCCCATAGTTCTCCTTAGGGTAACGGGAGGACACAAACTAGCGTCCTCCCGTTACCCTAAGCTCAGTATACCGTGAGCTACAGCTCGCGGTATACTGAGACGCCGCAGCCGGAGCGGATCCCGACTTAGACGACGGGATCCGCCCAGCTGCGTGAGTGACAGCTGGCTCGGCCTATCTAGAGGCAGAGCCAGCTGTACCCTCCCCCCTCCGTTCCGCCAGTCAGCGCTGGCAGATCGGAGCGGGGAGAGGGGAATCCAGCCCCTGTCACGGCAGAGAGCCGTGACAGGATCGAGAGGTGAGCGATCGCTCACCTCCCGATCTACTGAGCCGACCTGTGACAGTCTCATTGTCACAGGTCGGCTAGAACTATGAGGTTAATGAAAAGCACTCACCTCATAGTTCTCCTTTAACCTTCGCTCTGATGTTTCGCTGAGATGCCTGAATTAGAAGACAACAGTGAGAGTACACATATACAGTACGTATTGTATTGTGCTTTAACTGTTTTGGCATTCAGCCTCCAAATATTTAATGGAATGTTGACGTGAGCTCTCCATGAACATTCTTCTATTACTCACACACTCCAAACTGCTTTTACTGGCTTGACCCGTAGTGTTTACAATCCGTGCGGCACTGAAATAGCATCTTTCCAAGTGCCCTGGGGCTCTGCGGATCACACACCCTGCATGTGAACGTGATGCTTTCCTTCATTTCCGCTTGTGCCTTTGGCATAGTAAGCATAGTCACTCTCGTCGAATGGCTAGAATTCCATTCCACCACCTCTAGTCACCGTTTACTTGCACTCAATGGCCATTCAAAACCTGGACTAACAGCTTTGTCACATGTGACCAACCACTGGAGTCTATGAATGTCTTGTCACCAGCGTTTGCAAAGTGTGATCTGGTACAATGGTTGTTCAAAATGGGTGATTACTATTTAACTTTGTACTTTGACTGCTGAATATGTTCATACACCTCCTGTCAGCAAAATGCATTGAAATCATATCCTATTGAGGATGCAGAATTGTGTATAAAGTATGGGGACACCTTGTGGTAGAAGTCAGAACTTCATGTTAGGATTTATTTTGGTGACAGGTTTGTGTAGCATATACCATTTACCATAATTTTAGTTTATATATATATATATACACACTGAGTGGCGAGTTTATTATGACCACCTAGGCTAATTAGCTATAATTTTGCGCTGAAGTTGCTAGAGGGCCAGACCATTATAAATAGGGAAGCAGGTCGTTTACCACGACAGTAGAAGTGAAGATATGGGTGAACAACGCGATTTTAACAGCCTTTGAACGTGGGATGATTGTTGGCGCGTTCTACTGTCGTGGTAAACAGCATGCTTCCCTATTTATAATAGTCTGGCCCTCTAGCAACTTCAGCGTGAAATTATAGCTAATTTGCCCACAAACGTCAGGTGGCCATAATAATCTGGCCACTCAGTGTGTGTGTATATATAGATATATCTATATAATTATAGATATCTATATATAGATATTAGGGCTGTGGAAATTAACGATTAATCCCTCGATTAATCGTTATTTTTTTTGTTCGATCAACATTATTTTGATCGGTACTCACCTCTCCGCCCGCTTCCGGGTCTTCCGTTGGAGATCCGGTGACGTCACGGACATCGACGTCACCGGACTCCTCCCCCCTTCCCCAAGTGGCTCTGATGGCTAACGCAGGGAAGGGGGGAGGAGTCC